AGAGACGAGCACTAGAAACGTGTGAGCCCTCTGATGACAGTGACCTTGCACACGGGTCCCGACAGGCCTGGAATCTGACCGGCCCTTTGCCCCTCCCTCCTGGAGGGCCTGGGGGTACATTAGGAAGGCTTTGTGAGCGAGTTTCACCCCAGAATACTGAAGAGAAAGCCAGGCTAGATCATATTGGTGAAACCACTTGATGAATAGTTAAGTGTAATGTGCAGGACAGATATAATTTTAAAGGAGATGGAGAGAACTCTAATTATAACTCCAGGGAAGTTTCGTGAATCAGAACTCTCTTTCCTGAATATGATTGCTCGGAGGGTGGAGGGTGCTAATTATGTGATGTGGGAAATACCTTCTTTCACATCCAGAACGAGCTGGGAGATATTTTTCTAGGAAATTTTCCTGTGGACCAGGCAGATGGAATCATCTATCTGAAAGGGCCTCCCGTTAGGTGGCCGGAGCTGCGCCGGGTGCCTGGGGAGGGGGCCCTGCTGGTGGCTGGAGAGCTCCCCTCCTGTGCTACCAGCAGCCAACAGGAAACACAGGCTCCCAAGACTTAAGAACAAGACCGAACAAGCCTCAGCCATAAACTGTGTTTACAGCATTCTAGGGGCTGAGGGCATCACTGAGGATGGGGAGGTTGCCAAAGGAACCAGAGGTATCCTTTTCTTTCTTCTTCTTCTTCTTCTTCTTCTTTTTTTTTTTTACATGAAAATAAAAGATCACCACCGACCTGTGAATCATAAACCGGCACTGACCATGAGGCTCGCAGCCGGAAGGATTGCTGAGGGCTGCGGAGGCGCCGCCGGGGGTGCCCCCCGGGAGCAGTTTCTCTTCCTGGAAGGGACTCGGGCTTGCTTGCTGTGAAAGCTTTATTTTCTTCTCTCCGGCTTCCTTGCCTGCTCGGTTCCGACCTTGCCCACCTATCATTTTCTTCCCGGGAAAGGCACACATCCCTATTTCTGATAATGCTTCCTGCTTGCGGCTCTCTCCTTTTTAAAAAATTTATTTCTTGATCCACCCACTTCATTTCTGCTTCCTGGGATTGTTTACCAATGGGACGGATGCTAATATTATGTGAAACACGCCAGAAAGTGCCAGGGCACAGAGTAAAAGGCCCCTCTACCTTCCCCCTGGCAGCACCTCCTTCTCCTTCTCCCCCTCCCCCGTCCCCTCTGCCCTCCCCTCTCCTGCCCGGAGCTGTGGCCGGAGGATGGTGGGCTGAGGCCCAGGCCACAGAAGCCCAGCGGGTGCCTGGTGCTGGCCTGTTCTGGGACTTGCTGGGCTTGCTGGGCAGGACGCAGATTCCACAGACCACGAGTCCTGGGAGCACAAGGGGCCTGGGGCGGGGAACCACTGCCTCACACTAGATCCCTTCCCTCAGGAGCTCAGGCCAAGGTGGGGAGGGAGGTGGCTGAGAGAGGGACTTGGGGACAGAGGGGCCCCTGGACACCGTGGGAGGCAGGCCATACTTGAAGGGGTTGGAGCTGTTCTAGAACCTTCCGCCACACTGCTCATTTCTCCCTCACTCGTCCCGAGCCTTGGAAGGAACAGTGGGGTTGCTGAATAAGTGAGGCACAGATATGGGAGAAATTTCCTGGGTCCTTTTCCTTCTCACCTGATAGGTTACCTGCAAAGGGCTGGTGGCCACTCTTGAAAGAAATTCACTCATCCATTAGACGTTTCCTGAAGTCTTCTCTGTGTCAGGCAGGCTGTTTAAGCCCACCGAGGCTATGACAGACTGTCTGGGTTCCAATCCTGCCTCCACCACTTACGAGCTGTGTGACTTAAAATTTTTTAACATGTTTTTATTCATTTTTTGAGAGACAGAGAGAGACAGAGCACCAAGAGGGAGGGGCAGAGAGAGAGGGAGACAAAGAATCTGAAACAGGCTCCACGCGGCACTCGAGCTCACAAGCTGTGAGATTGTGACCTGAGCCGAAGTCGGATGCTTAACCGACTGAGCCACCTAGGCGCCCCACTCCCTACATTTGTTCAATGAAAAATAAGCTGTTCTTGGTGCTGGGAATGCAGAGATGCTCCTGACCCCATGGAATCTTCGTGTGGAGGGTGGAGACAAACCATAAACATGTGAACAAATAAATGAGAGAATTGCTGGGTCATGAGGAAAATGAAGCCAGTAACAGGATAGAGGGCGAGTGGCAGCTGCGTGTGGGGGGGAAGTGTGTTATTTTAACCAAGGACACTAAGGAAGGTCTTCCAGAGGAGAGGTATCTGCATGGACATCTGAATGATGACAAGGATCAGCCATGGAAAGCACAAAGGGGTGGATTCCAGGCAGTGGGAAGAGCGAAGAGCATGTGCAAAGGGCCGGTATATTGGATGAAAAGGCAGGCATGGCTGAAGCTGGTTGGGGGGTGGGGGGACATGGGAGAAGCACTGTGCGCACGAGGATGGCAGGAAGCAGGCCCAGGTCCCGTGAGGTCCGGCAGGCCCCAGGAAGGAGCCGACATCTTTTCTAATGGCCACGAGACCATAGTCATCGTCCAGGCCTGCAGCAACAAATTGTCACGAACTTGGTGACTTAAAACAGAAATGCATTTTTTCTCCAGAGGTCTGGAGGCCAGGACTCTGAAATCAAGGGTGGCTCAGTAGACTGAGGGCCTGGCTCTTGATTTCAGCTCAAGTCATCATCTCACGGATTGTGAGTTCGAGCCCCACGTTGGGTGCTGCGCTGACAGTGCAGAGCCTGTTGGGAATTCTCTCCCCCCCACCCCAGTCTCTGTACCTCCCACGCTCACTTGCACATGCGCTTTTACTCTCTCAAAATAAATAAACTTAAAAAAAAAGATGTTGAGGTGCCTGGGTGGCTCAGTCGGTTAAGTGTCCAACTTTGACTCAGGTCATGATCTCATGGTTCGTGGGTTCAAGCCCCGCATCAGGCTCTGTGTTGACAGCTAGCTCAGAGCCTGGAGACTGCTTCAGATTCTGTATCTCCCTCTCTCTCTGATCCACCCCTACTCACGCTGTCTCTCTCTCTCAGAAAAGAAAAAAAAAAACATAAAAAAAAAGACATGTTGGTAGAGCTGAGGTCCCTCCAAACATCTGGAGGAGTGTCATTCCTTGCCTCTCGAGGTTCTCTGGTGGCTGTGCTCACTCCTCTTCACTCTCTGTCTTCACAGGTCCTCTCTCTGTGTCTCTTCTTAGGACACCAGCCATTGGACTTAGGGCACATCCGAAATGCAACAGATAGCACTTTGAGATCCTTAATTATATCTGTAGAGACTCTGCCTCTGAAAAAGGTTGCATTCACAGGTACCGAGGGGTTAGGACTTGGACATATCTATTTTGGGGGTACACAATTTAACCCACTACAGAGGCCACTGGTGGTTTAAGCAATCTCAAACAAGGCTACACTGTCCACGATGGGTCAAGAGAGCAGTAAGACCCTTGAAAAATCATGTCTGAACATGGACAAGGTGTGGATGTGGTCCAGACAACAAGATTAACCAGACATCCCCCGTCCTGGCTAATGTGGCTTTTTTTTAAATCAACATCAGCTCTAGCTTTGCTGCATTTTTTTCACCTTCCAGAAAAGAATTATTAAGACATCCCATCACAGCATTACCTCTGATACCTGATAGCATCCAATCCAGAGCAAACCTTGCTTCCTTGAGCCCCCATCCCTACCCCAAATCATGCAACAGAAACCTCCATCCTGTAACAGGTCCGAGATGCCCTAGGGATGCTGGTGGTGTGTGCCCACCCTTGTTGCGCCAAATCAACAAACCCGATTTTGCTTCGTCCACAGTGTGCTCCCAGTGGTCACAGTTTGAAGGACAGAATGGGCGTCATTGGCGTGGGACCCGTGTGGTCCACAGGACCCTGCACTGGGAAGGGCCTCACACTTGGTTTACTACTGTGTGGCCACCATATTGAAATCCTTCACTGGGTCTTGCAAGTTCTGTAGCTGGTTCTGCTGAAGAGCATTAACAGTGGCTAATGGCAGGGTCCTTGTGGCAGAGAGAGTGACAGGTGGGTGGATTCAGGACTTTTTGGCCCGGACACCCAGGACTGGATGCTAGCTTGGATTTGAAGTGGGGGAATGCAAAGAAGACAGAGAGAAAACTCCAAATCTTCTCCTGGGCTGGGAAGGCCCTTTATCAAAATGGGAAATATTGGGTGGTCAAGTCAAGCAGGTTTTGCACTGGGTGAGGGGTTGGGTCAAGAATCTCCATCTGGTGAAAATACACTTCTGGATGTACATTAAGAATAGGCATACAATGTTACATTTTTTAAGATTGGTAACTCAGTGTTGCACTACAGTTTTGCAAGATATTACCATAAGGCAGGAAGGAGGGGAGAATGGAGGAAAGGGGACATGGGATCTCTCCATATTATTTCTTACGACTGCATGTGAATCTACAATTATCTCAAAATTAAAAGTTTAATTAAAAAAATTGGTGACCCAGAAAATCAGGACGTGAACGGAGCGATAGGCGGCTCCAGGCAGGTGTTACTCATTTGTATTCATAAATTCTTCAATCTGCAAGGGGCTTGGAGGGCAGCTCACACAGGGGACGCCGTGATGGGCCATACATGGCATCGGAAGGGACAGTGGTGGCCACTGTGGCACCTGAGTGTCCTTCCTGGTGTCCTACAGTTGGGGGCTGATGAGGAAGACATCGGCTCGTCTCTCCAAGGCACTGCCAGTAGACCGAGGAAAATTCCTTAAGGAAAGTGGCCTGGGCACTTGGCTCCTCTATCAGTTTCCAGTCACTTCAGCAGGGGATGGGCCTGGGGTGCTTTGGGCGTGGACACTGCGGGGAGGAATGGAGGCCAGAATGGCTTCTGTTGGTCTTCACTTTTATGCTTCCATTTACTTAGACTCAGGCTCCCCGGGGTGGGGGTGGGGGCAGCATCTCATCTTGATATTTGCAGATTTATTCACGGAACTCCCCACACATCTGGATGAGAATATATGACTTGCCCCCCAGAGGAAATAGTTAAATGAATCGCTAAAGCACAAAATGTTCCTGTAAAATTGCTTCCATATTTTATTAGACGCAGATGAGCATGAATTATTGTGAAGCCAACAGGAGGGTTTGCAAATTGGGTTCTTGCCTTTCCATAAACAGTCCTTCCACACCTAGATCATTATGGAAAGGCTTTAATGAATGTTGGTTTGTGATGGGGGCATTGAATAATTCATTCACCCATCCATCCATCCATCCATCCATCCATCTATCCATCCACCCAACATTTATTGGGCACCCACTGTATGCAGGTAACGCAAGCTAATCTGTAGCTGCAGGGGTCATTTTCACTGACCCACTTTAAGGGAGTCCTTTTGAGATCAGGTGACTTGGGGTTTGAATCTCATGGGAGGTTCACTTTTGGGGGGAAGGAGCTCCCTTTCACGTATCTCAGGGGGCCACTGGCCACACAGAAGAAGGTTTTCTTTCATATACTACTCTACTGTTGAAGATGTTATTTAGAGGCGTCTGGGGGGCTCAGTCAGGTAAGCGTCCGACTCTTCATTTCGGCTCAGGGCATGATCTCACGGTTCATGAGTTCAAGGCCCGCATCAGGGTCTGTGCTGACAGTGAGGATCCTGCTTGGAATTCTCTCTTTTCCTCTCTCTGCCCCTCCCCTGCTCATGCTCTCTCACTCTCTTTCAAAATAAATCATAAACCTGAAAAAAAGAAAAAATGCTACTTACTCTTAAATTCCTCTTTCTTAAACACCTGCTCCTTGGTGTCAAGGTGTGAAATTTCTTGGAGAAAAAATGGACACAGTTCTGCAAACCTGGCTTTGAAGTGATTAGTTTCTCACATTCTGTGTGGCTCTGCCAAAATGACCCCAGCTGGGTATCCAAAGGGGTCTACTTTTTGCTCAGAATGCCTGGCTCCAGGAAGGGAGCGTGGGCAGCTGGGGATGAGAGGACCCACATCATTTCTTCTTCTCCATCTGGAAGTTAAGCATAACAGTATGGTTTGTAGGATCACTGGAAACCTGAGTGGCTGGGGAACCGTTCACGCACTCCCTCAGTCACCATGGGGAGGTGAGCAAGGGGAGTTTCTCTGCCTGCCTTGGCCTGGGCTAGGCACAGGTCTGGTGGCTGCTTGTGATGTGGTCAGGCAGGTGCTGGCTCAGTGGAGGGCTGGGTCCTCACCCCATTGGGACCCAGGGCTTCTAGGACTGGTGGGGGCACTGCATGCTGTCATTTGGTGGTGATGTGGGGCATGAGATCTGTCCCAAGGGAGGTTTCTTGAGGAAAAGCAAAAAGTGGGAAGGACCCCCAGACGTGTCCCTGCTGCACGGAAGCCCTTTACCTTATTTACGTGTGGGGCACTCGCAGCACCTGCAGGCTGGACTGGAGCAGGAAGTCCCATCTCCCCCAACCTGTGGGCATAGAAACAGCTTGGAGAGACCAACAACATGTCCAAGGTTACCCAGTGAGTGGTGGAGACTGGATTTAACTTGCTACACTTCCCTGCACCACGGCTCTCTAGACAGGGGCCAAAAAGTGTTGTAAAAAATGTTTTGGGAGACATCTGTGAGGATACCTCTGGGCAGGAAAGAGTGCCCCTTGCTGTATCTGTTTTCAGGTGAGGTAAGGTGTGGAGGAGAATGACCAGGCAGTCTGGAAGCATCTTCTCCCACCTGAAGCCTGCAGTTCATGACCAAGCCGGGCAGACACAGTGGTTACCATTTTGATGACAAATAGTGGGTACTTGGGTGGCTCAGAACTCAGGAAACCGAGTGGGTTAGAAATGGGCATTCATACTAAATTCTCCCGCCATCCAGAGGGTTCAGGGAGCCGATGAGTGGGCAGGAGAGAGGGGGGAGGAGTCTGGTTCTTGTCAACTGAATGCTTCTCAGAAGCCCCTTTGGTTCAAATCTTCAAATTATACTGAAAAAAAAAAATCTCTAGAATGTCTCCTTTGGTAAAGAGAGAAGGATAAATACAGGATCCCGAGGTGTTTCTGAGTCAGGGTTTTACTTGTGAAGTCTCAACGTGGTGTTCTGGAAACGCCTTGGTCTCAGCATCAGAAGACCCAGGCTGAAGGTGGGCTGGTCTACTGACTGTGTGACTTCCAGCAGGTCACAATGCGCTGAGCTACAAGTCTTTCCTCCATAACAACAGAAGAGAGTAGCATTCACTCTGTGGATGGTCCGAGGGTGTTGTAAAGCTCACATTGAATGAGATTCTCACCTTGGCTTCCAGATCCCTGTGCAAACATAAATTGCTGTAATCAACCAGGAGAGAGGAGACAGGATCAAATGTCTTTAAACCCAAGTTAGGCTTGCTTATTAGGTAGAATTCTCCAGAAAAACAGAACCAATAGGATCTATCTATCTATCTATCTATCTATCATCTATCTCTGCTTATTTATCTATCAACCTATCATCTTTCTGTCTACCTATCAACTTATTATCTATATATCCATCTATTTTCTATCTATCTATCTATCTATCCATCCATCATATATCTATCCATCTGTCCATCCATCATCATCATCGTCATCATCTATTCATCCATCTATCCACCTACCTGCCTCCTAGCCACCTATCTATCCATCCATCATATCTATCTATCTGTCTGTTGACACACCCATCATCATTCTCTCTCTATCTATCTATCCACCTATCTATCTCAAAGGAGATTTATATAATGAGGAATTGGCTCACGTGATAATGGAGGCTGAGAAGTCCCTTTATCTGCCATCTACATGCTGGAGGCCCAGAAAAGCTGATGGTATAGAAGATCAAATGAGAGGTGATATTCCAGCTCAAGCAGTGAGTCAGGAAAAAAGTAGCAAACTCCTCTCTCCTCTGTCTTTCGCTCTGTTCAGGCCCTCAGCTGAGGCCCACCCATACTGGGGAGGGCTGTCTACTTTCCCGAGTCCACATCTTCGAATATGAATCGTATTCAGAAACACCCTCATAGATACACCCAGAAACCATGTTTCATCTGGGCACCCCGTGGCCAGTCAAACTGACACATAACATTAAACTGACATCACCATCTGGAAAGTTTCTTCTTCCCATTCATGAATTTGGAGGCATGGTCTTTGGCAGCTGAGCTCGTTTCCTGAGGCAGGGGAGGAAACAGGAGCTCCAGGGCAGCTGTCGGGGATGAGGGACTCCAAATGCCAAAAGATGGGAAAGGCACATGAGGAAGCACCAATGTGCGATATTCTTTAAGAGCCACAGCATAGATAAGAATGTGTGTGTGTGTTTAAGTTTAGAGACAGAGAGAGTGAGTGGGGGAGACGGTCAGAGGGAGAGAGAGAATCCTAAGCAAGCTCCATGCTCAGCACAGAGCCTGGCACAGAGTTTGATCCCATGACCCTGGACTATGACCTGAGCCAAAATCAAGAGTTGGATGTTCAATGGGCTGTGCCACCCAGGTGCCCCAGATCAGAATTTTTTGGGGGGGGGTGGAGAGAGGACACAAGGGGCAGAGAGAGAGAGAATCCCAGAAGGGATAGAGAAAGAGTGAGAAGGAGGGAGGGAGAGAGGGAAGTGGGGCTCACCCAAAGCAGGGCTCGTGTTCATCTTAAGCAGTGCTCCAGCTCACCTGATGTGGGACTCAGACTCAAAAACCATGAGATCATGACCTGAGCCAAAGTCAGATGCTTAACGATGGGGTCACCCAGGGGCCCCCAGAATATCTTTTGATAGTTTTTATGCAATGGGTGTGTTCTTTTGAAGGTGATGCCACCTGGAGCCTTGAGATGAACTCGGGTTACATTTAGAAAGTAACCCTCAGAATCTGAGATCTAGGTGTGGCGTTCAGGGGCACCCCCTATTATACATAATCACTCAGTATCTGAGCTATTGTATCATAAAGAATCTGACTGGTTTCGTTCCTGTCCCAGGAGGGAGCTTTTAACTCCTTGGGATTTTCTGAGTTGATAGGAGTGTGTGTTATTCATGGTAGCCTCCTTGGATAACACCTGGGTTTATGTTAATGAAATGATTCAGGAAGGGAGCTGGCTGGGCCAGAAAGAACAGCCATGTGATTAGCAGACTGGGGCCTTGAACCAAGTGATACCAGCCTGCTATGGTCCAAATGTTTGTGGCTCCCCCAATTCCTATGCTGAGATCCTAATTCTCAATGTGATGGTTTTAGGAAGTGGAGTCTTTGGAAAGTGATAAGGTCTTGAGGATAGAGCCCCCGTGAATGTGATGGTGTCCTTACAAAAGAGACCCCATAGAGCTCCCTCGCCCCTTCGGCCATGTGAGGACACAGCTAAAAGATGGCCATCTCTGAACCAGATGGAACAGGAATCTGGCTCATACCAGACGCAAGGCTGGGTGAGGCTTCCTGTTGTGCTGAAAGGTGACCTGCTCCGATTCCATGGGAAGAGGGCATGGAAGCTGTGTATTCAAGTCCCTCCCATACCTCGCCCTATATAGTTCTTCATGTGATTGGTCCTGATCTGTATCCTTTATAATAACACTGTAATCAGAAATGCTGTACTATATAGCATATACATATAGCATATAGTATATGCTGAATACCTGTATACCTGAGCTCTGTGAGTTATTCTAGCAAATTCTGAACCTGATAGGAGTCATGAACCCCTTGCCTCTAGATCTATGGCCAGTGGATCAGAATTGCATGTGGCCTGGGGATCCCTGAGCCAGTGGCTGGTGACTGGCGTGGGAGCAGTCTTGCCCTGTGGACTCTGTGCTGACTCCAGGTGGTTAGAATTGCATCACCGTAGCTGCAGAGCCAAGAGAACAAACACCATATCTTATTTCGTTTTTTTTCAACCAAGAAATATTTCCTGAGAGCTTAGTTTGTGTCGGGCATGGTGGTGGGCGCGACACATACCACCTCGCCGTTGAATGTCATGTTCCTAAAGGAATTCGTGAAGCTTAGAATACCGCTAGTGTCAAAGGGGCGATGTTGCAAAAAACACAGTGAGATCGGAATTACTATTTTTAGGAGGAGGCACAGATTTGGAGGGCCAGATTTCCACATAAATTCATTAAGCCAAGGAAGTCTAAAAGCTTTGTAAAGTTAAAGGCTGGGAAGTACTTTTCTGCCTTGCCTTAAGAGGTATCCCGTTCATGGGGGCACCTGGGTGGCTCGGTCAGTCAAGCATCCAGCTCTTGATTTTGGCTCAGGTCATGATCCCGGGGTCGTGGGATCGAGCCCCACATCAGGCTCTGCACTGAGCATAGAACCTGCTTGAGATTCTCTCTCTTTGCCCACTCTCTCTCTAAAAAATAAACAAATAAAAATAAACAAAAAAGAGGTATCTCATTTGCGAAGAACTTAGAATTGTTTCCCAATGGAGAACGGGTGCTGGTGGCAGACATTCTTGCTCTGTCCCTAAGGTCTCCTGTGATGTGTCAGTTGTGGTGAGTTTGCCTGGGGTAGGGGGGGGGGGAGGAGGTTCACACTGAGAGGCTCAGGGTAAGCTGTTACCAGGGGCATGAGGACATGCATGGCGAGAGCAGGAGGAAGGGCTTGGGGACATACTGAGTCCTCGCGGGGCTGGGGCAACTGGGACAGAGACGCACTGGTGATGAGAGTCTGAAGATCCCATATGGGACACATTTCCTGGCCTGGAGGCCAAGGTCTCACTTCTGAGATGGACAGTCTCTTGGTCCCACAGGAGCATCTGGCTGGGCTTCATTTGCCAAAGAGCATCTCAGCAGGTGGGGAAAATGAGTCACTATGGATTCCCCCCTCCCCCCATCGTGGGCATTTGAACAAACTTTGGAGATCCAGACACGGTGGGCCGGGTGCTCATGAGAACTTCCTGGAGGCAAGAGTTGCTGAATACATTGGATTTCCTTATGAAATAGAGTGGCTCCAGAATCTCATGGTGAAACTCACCAGAGCCAGGGATGGAAAAGACCCCTGTCAACAGCCTCCAGGATCAGTGCAAAGGGTGTGTGCTGAGCAGAAGTCATAGGTGTGCCCAAGCCTTTGAGGCAACCCTACAAGCCCGCAGGACGTGGGGCGATCAGCTACTCCCCCAGAGCCAGGTGGGGCTGGAGGGAGGCATGATGTCCCCAACATCTTAACAGGGTGGCAGGGTGGGTCAGAAGTGGCCTTTCTGGATGGCCTAGCCTCCTATGTCCTGGTATTTCACAGATGCACCACACAGAGGCTTTTCAGAAATCTGGCAGGGGAGATGGCCTGATGCCTATTTCATGCCTGGCAGCAAGAAGCACCCAAGAGCTGGGGCACCTGGGTGGCTCAGTCGGTTAAACATCTGATTTCGGCCAGGTCATGATCTCATGGTCTGTGAGTTTGAGCTCCATGTCAGGCTCTGAGCTGTCAGCTGGAGCCTGCCTTGGATTCTCTGTCTCCCTCTCTCTCTCTCTGCCCCTCCCCTGTTTGTGCTCTGGCTCTCTCTCTCTCTCTCAAAAAATAAATAAACATTAAAACAACAACAACAACAAAAAACACCAGGGAGCCAATAGCCACCACAAGGGAAATGGCTGGCTGGCTGTGTCTCCCTCTACTGACACCAGACACAGAGCCTGGTGGCTGGAGAAGAAACAGCTCCCTCAAGAGGTCTGATCCCTAGGAGATGTCAGACTCCCCAGGCTCATCGACTCTCTGTGAGGAATGTGATGTGCCAGCCTGGTGGGGTCTGACAGCATTGCCAGAGGCCCCTGAGAGGAAGGGAAGATGTGTGTGTGCAAGCGTGAGTCTGTGCGTGCAAGCATGTGTGTGCTGGTGTGAATGTACATGTGTAAGGGTGAATGTGTGCTCATGTACCAGTGTCTCGTGACTGTGCGTGGGTGCCATGTTTGAATGAGTGTGAGGGATTGTGTGCATGAACTTGTGTATTAGTGTGTGAGGGTGTGTTTGTTGGTGACCATGTGGGTCTGTGACCACATACTCATATGTGTACGAGTATGAACGTATGTCTGAGTGGGAGCTGGTATGTGTGTGGGAGTGCGTGTGTGGTGCAGATCCCGATTCAGTCATCTCCCAGGACGGCTGATGCTCAGGGCAAAGGAGAACTAAAGGGATGTCTACTGGAGGAGCGTCACAGGAGGGGGAGCAGGTGTATGGAGGGACTCAGGCCCCCAGGAGGAAGGAAGAATGGGTGGCACAGAGAGAGTTACATGGATAAGCTGCAGAGATATTTTAGCAGATCCCAAGGGTGGGTGATCATGGGGAGAGGAACAGACGTCTAGGGAGAATTCTCAGGAAATTTCCATGTGATGTTTGGTGCAACTCCTCCTGCCCGGGCCTCCTGTAATGAATTCAATTTTAAAGACCCACTTTAGTATACTTTGCATAGTGTCTGATCTATGTGGACAGGTGGATGTATTTGGGTTATACAAGGTCATAAGTGTCCAGTGGCCATCTCTTGGGGACCTCCTGCTGTTTAAATCCCAAAGGGCACTTAGGGACGCTGGATGTGGATTTGTTGAAAGAGAAGTCTTTGAAGGCCCATCAAGAAAGGGTAAGCCTCCAAGGAGAAACCCAAAGGAAGGGAGAGGAATAGCTGTTCCTCTGGCCACCGGCCTGCACTCTCCTGAGGGAGCAAGGCGGAGCATGGGGCCGCGCCAGGAACTGCAGAGACACAGGATGTGAACAGCATTTGCATTAGAAAATCAAACTCATACCAGCTCCACCATTAAATATTTCCTGGATCACATAAATAAAAGGCCAGAGGCAGACAGACGTCAGCATGGGTTTGATGTGGTGGTTCCAAGGTGTAATGGAGGGTTTCCTTCCATTTCTCTGCTCTGCCTTCTGCAACAAAAGCTTTATCCTCATGGCTCCATATCATCTACTTTGCTTCTTCACGCCCTGTCATCTGGATGGTGACAGGATTCTCTGTTCCATATCCATAAGCCTGAGATCCAACTTGACCAGACGGTAATGCCTGTGGCCAGGGAAATGGAGATACCAATGGGCTTGTCCCCTGAGACACCAACTGAGCCTATGGTGGGCTGAGTTGTGTCCCACACCTCATTTGCATGTTGATGGTCTAAACCCCAGGACCTAAGAATGTGACTATGTAGAGATGGGGCCTCAAAAGGGTAATTAAGGTAAAAAGAGGTCACTGGATGGGCCCTGATCCAACAGGACTGGGGTCCCTATAAGAAGAGGAGATCAGGACACAGACACGCACAGAGGGATGACCACGTGACAATACAGGGAGAAGACGGCCATCTACACGCCAAGGAAAGAGCCCTCGGGGAACCAGCCCTGCTGACTCCTTGATCTCGGACATCCAGCCTCTAGAACTGCAGGATGAACGTCTGATGTTTAAGCCCCCCATCTGTGGTACTTCATCACGGCAGTTCCTGCAGACGTTAGCACACTGCCTCTAGACCTGGGATGGATTCATTTCCCCCAGAGTGCATGGACCTCATGGGGCAAGACGGGCAGCCAAACAGGAATCTGGGTTTTGTTAGAAAGAGGGACCCAGAGTAGATCCCACAAATGCCCCCCCACAACGGAGGAGTAGAAACACTAAAGAATTCCATCTGAAAAACACTGGGTCCAGCCCATTAAACCCCAAGATTCTGAAACCATCATCATTTGTTTCAGGCCCCTGGCACTCTGGGACACTCACGTGGGTGTCTGGGGAAGCAGGATTCGGGGAGCCTGTCGCTGTCCTCCAGGTGAGGGGTTGAGTAGATCCTACCCTGCTCATTGCTCAGTCAGTCCTGGGGGGCTCTCTTGTTTTACGGCTTTCTTCATCTTTCTCTCATGGATCTCCAGTCCCTGATCCCACGGCCCTCCTTCCGGTTGGTGCCTTGGATGTCCCACGAATCTTCGAGAAGATTTGGTTTCACATACATGAGCATTTAAACGTGTGCACATAGTGGGGTCTCCATCTTGTGTCTTTGTTGTCTTCTTTTTTAAACTCAACATCAGATTTTAAGACCCAATGATGCTGTTTGTAGGTCTACACTTCTTCCAATTGCCATATGTGCTGTGATTCCTCTGTTCCCCAGGGTGGGAGGGTGCTGGGTGTCATCTGTTCTCTCCAGGCTCTCCTCCATCCTCTCCTCCTGCTTTGTGCCCAGTGGGGATGCCCTGTATGGACCTTGACAATAGGCCCCTTGCTCTCTGGCTTCTGATTAGGTCTGGCCAATGAGAAGTCCCAAGAGGGGCTCAGGGGGCGAGCAGAGAGGGAGAGGAGGGCAGGGCATTTGTTTCTGGGGATCCTTCTGGCAGCAGCCCTATAGCTGGCTGGGTCCTGCTCATCCACACAATGCTTCCCATTTGGGCTTGGCCAAAGCCAAAGGGCCTGGGTATCAGCTCTGCTGCTCTGAACCTGGGGCTTCTGCACTATCTCTGGGGTTCCCCTGTACCCACACTTTTGTAAACAGTCCCTCTGTAAATTAACCCTCCTTGAAGGATCCTGATTTGGGCACCTGCTTCCTGCTGGGACTCTGAGGGATCCAGCTTGGGTTCCCTCAATAACATGCCATCTCAAACCGGGCCACGATGGGTATCCTGGCAGGGGCCCCCTCCCGGAGTGTGCGGCACCAATGTGAGAGGCAGCCCTCCAGAACCGAACACCCCACTTCATCAGTGCCACCCCGCCCGCCATGCTGGAAGGCTCTCAGGGCTCCATGATTTCCTCCACAATTAATAGTATTCTATTTCCTGATTCCTGTCGATCTGGTGGATAAAAGTGGTATCTGCATGTCTATTTTTTTGAAAAAAAAATTTAAAGTTTATTTATTTTGAGAGAGAGAGAGAGAACAGGGGAGGGGCAGACAGAGAAGGAGAGAGAAGCAGGCTCTGTACTGACAGTGCAGAGTCCAAGGCAGGGCTCAAACCCACAAACTGCGAGATCATGACCTGAGCTGAAACCAAGAGTTGGGCGCCTGACAGACTGGGCCACCCAGACGCCCTGCACCACTGTTTTCATGCACTTGTCAGCAACCTGGATTTTGCCTTTGCCTGTTCATGACTTTTGCTCCATTTAAATTTCTTGATCTTGTGTCTTGGTTCTACTGAAACTTGCTCTAGGGGCAGGGGGCGGGGCTGGGGGACTAACTAGGTTGTGAAATACGTCTTCCTTCTGTATTTGATAAAACAAAACATTAAAACAAGATAGGAGGCGGCCTATTCATAAAATAAGTAATTCACATAAAAAAACGGTTACTTTCAGGGGCGCCTGGGTGGCTCAGTCAGTTAAGCATCTGACTCTTGGTTTCGGCCTCAGGTCATGATCTCATGGTTTGTGAGTTGGAGCCCCTACATCCTGCTTTCACATTCTGTGTCTCCCTCGCTCTCTGCCCCTCCTCTGATCGCACTCTGTCTCTCTCTCAAAAGCAAATAAACATTAACAAAACGTTTTAATTGTTATTTTTAAATGGGGGGGTAGGTGGGGGCAATGTTGGGCAGTATAGACCTGGAAATAAGCAAGCAAGGAGGGTGGCCTCCGGGCTCTGGGCCCCACTGTGTGGCCATGCACTCCGGAGCCTGGCCGGCTCTGGGGGAAGGACGACCAGGCAGGGAATTACTTTACTTTCCAAGACTCTGAGCAGAAAGATCCTTTGCCTTTCCCGTTGTCCAAGGTTTCTCGGGAAGAGGCCTCACCCCTTACGTAAGGCCTAAAGAGGCTATTTGAGCCTGGCCTAAATGGGTCCAACAGGGAGGGGATGACAGAATGTTCTTTTTGGCTCTCTGGGCCACAGCAGGGCTCTGAGCAGAAAGCGCAATGCTCACTGTGGGCTGGAGCAGGTCCACACCACCCTGGGACCCATCACACCTGCACATCACCCAAAGCAGAGAAAATGCGTGCCACAGTTAAGCCAGGTGAAGGCATTGCATTTCAAAGGGCAAATGGCTTCTGTCTCCAGGCAACTTGTAATTTTGTGCAGAGAATAAAAGCAGAGCTTAACACTGGAGAGGAAGTTAGGTGCCTAAGAGTTATGAAACCAGAATGGGTTCCCTACTCTTTGCCTTCCCTACCCGGAGAGGCTGGTCAGCACCACGAACACACACTGGTGCTGGAGCAGAGGGCTGGGTCCTGCTGCCCACATCCACGGGCCAGTAGAGGAGGGAGGCCATCTCCCCAAACAGAGAGGCAGGAGGGACTGCCCCCTCTTCCAGGCCGAGGCCCCTGTTGGCCTTGGGTTTCATGGTGGCGGCAGCCCAGCCCTTGACAAGCACAGCGGTCACTGGCCTACTGTGACCAGGGATGGAAGAGGGAGAACCGGGTGGACACTGCCCTTCACTGTGTCTCCCGGGAAGGCGGCAGTGAGAGCAAAATTTCCTACTTTGTGGGCCAAGATGGGAGCGGATGAGGGCACTCAGGGGGGGCTGGGTGGGGGTGGGCTTCCCTTGAGGACCAGTAAGGTTCGGGGTCCATCAAGACGCGGTTGGGCCCATGACCTTTGGCACTGCAAGGACTCAGACCCCACAGCAGGTGGTGTTCAGGGTGACTCCTTTCCTGGCTCTGAATCCAGTAAGCACCGCAGAGGCCTCTCGGTGACCAGTGTGTCCCCAAGGGCCATGTCTTCCCTGACTTTGATCTGGGCTGCTGGCCTGGCCTCTGCCTGCCTGGGGTCTGGTTCTCCAGCCTGCCTGCGAGTCTGTGAGTTCCCCACTACCTTTTCCATAAAGTCCCTTCTCTGATCAAATTAACCAGAGTTCCCTTCTGTTGCTTGCAGTTCAGAGGCTGGCTGCCCCGGGAGAGAACATGGCATGTACAAAGTCAGATGTGGAAAGGGGTCCAGGGTGCAGGGCAGGGTGCCCATTGGGAGAGGGTAGCCAGGGTTGGGCTGCGGCAGGAGCCCAGGGCCCAGGCTAATGTGGTGGGTGCCTCCGATGAGGGAGGACAGTGGTGGCCCAGAGCAGGGAGGGTGGCCAGTTCTCCCCAGGTCTGCCAGACACGGCCCAGGGAAAGCAGGCCTGACATCAGCCCCCCAATTCAAATCCAATCCTGGGGGCGCTGGGGCTCCTGGTCCTCCCTGCCCTGACTGCTCAACTGGCTGTGTGACCTTGAACATTGTTTCCCCTCTTTGTGCCTCATTCCCCTTGCACCTCAGGGGGATAGTGTTGTTTTGGGGTTCTTAGGAGGCAATCTTCTTACCTTTGCTCTCTGTGACTGAGTAGGTCCAGAGGTAAGCAGTCTCTGCCAGCACTCTGCCCGTGTCCGGGAGGCCAGCTGGAGGCCATGGATAAGAAGTCCCAGGGGCCACCTGGGCGGCTCGGTCTGTTAAGCTTCCGACTCTGGCTCAGGTCATGACCGCGGTTTGTGGGTCTGAGCCATGCCTCCTGCTCTGTGCGGACAGCTTGGAGCCTGGGGCCTGCTTCGGATTCTGTGTCTCCCTCTCTCTCTCTCTGCTCCTCCTTTACTTGTGCTCTGTCTCTCTCTTTCTCAAAAATAAACAAACAGTAAAAAAACAATTAAAAAAAAAAAAAGCGTCAGGATTCAGGTGGGGCCCAGCCCCGCTGGGGAGCAGAGAGGGCTTTCCTCTCAGTCTCCTGGCTGTGCAGAAGGGCTGTCCTTAGGGGGACAGTGTGGCTGGCCCTGGAGTTCGGAGGCTGATGAGCTCACGACTGCAGATCTGGAATGAGGGCGTAGATCTGAGGAAAAGCAGGAGGATTTGAGTCACTGAGATAACTTCCCAGGGAGTCCCCAAGGTGTAACAGGGCCGGATGGGGGCCCAGGCCAGGCCCCAGGAATATCTTCTGCCAGCAGGTATAAATAATGCAACACAGCAGCCACTTACAGAAAAGGATGCAGAGAATGCTTGCGGATTCTCTTTGATTTCTCCTTTTCACCTGTGGAGTGTCTGCCTCATGTGTGCCCACCTGCTGGGGAAACCGAGGCTGGGTGTTTGGGGTTTGCTTGAGACCCTCGCCTGCTGGCCACACATACAGTACCGTGTATTACAGACCATCCCGGTCAGGAAAAGAGAACCCACTCTGGGTATTGAAACAGAGTGAGCTTGTTGGTTACCTGGGGGGTTAATGAGCATAGAAGCTAAGAGGGCAACTCAGAGGTTAGCAACCTGGAAGTTTCAACTGTCCGCGGGATTGCTAAGACCAATGGAGGAAGCGGTTTTACCGGAGCCCTGGATCCGAGGCTATTTGGTGGCAGGCGGAGCCATGGCAGTGGCTGGTTGTCATGCGCAGAGATCACAGAGGGAAGGGTTGTGCATGCGCACAATGAGCATAGAGTCATGGAGGAGGAGGAGGAGCCACGCTGAAGACTCCACAGGGGCGGGGCGGGGCGGGGCGGGGCGGGGCTGGGGGGGAGGGTATGGGGAAAGGGAAGATCTTGGCTTCTTTCTCTATCCCACCCACCTGACTTTGTGAACAAATTATAATGAGGGCCCCCTGGGTGGCTCAGTCTGTTAAGCGTCTGACTCTTGATTTCGGCTTGGGTCATGATTTCACGGTTCGTAAGTTCGAGCTCATTGGGCTCTGAGCAGACAGTGGGATGCCTGCTTGGGATTCTCTCTGCCCCTCCCCTGCTCATGCTTTCTCTCTCAAAATAAATAAATAAACTTTATTAAAAAAACTTTGAATGTTTTTTTATTTTTGGAAGAGAGAAAGAGACAGAGCATGAGTGGGGGAGGGGCAGAGAGCAAGGGAGACACAGAATCTGAAGCAACAAGCTCCAGGCTCTGAGCTGTCAGCACAGAGCCAGATGCAGGGCTCCAACCCATGAACCATGAGATCATGACCTGAGCCGAAGTTGGACCCTTAACCTACTGAGCCACCCAGGTGCCCCTAAATAATAAGCTTTAAAAAATAATTTAAAAACTAAAAAAATTATGATGAAATGCACATAACAAAATCTACCACTTAACCACATTTAAGGGTACGGCTTAGTGGCATCAAGTGCATTCACACCGTCATCTATCTCCTGAACTTTGTCATCTTCCTAAACTCAAACTCTGTCCCCATCAAACACTCACCCCCCTCCAATTCCCTCCCTCAGCCCTTGGCTCCCACCTTCTACTTTCTGTATCTATGGATTTGACTACTGTAGGTAACATATGTGATCATACAGCGCCTCCTTGGAACTGGCTCTTTTCACTTAGCATAACATCCTCAAGGTTTATCTGTGTTGTAACAGGTGCCAGAATGTCCTTCCTATTTTTATGTTTATTTATTTTTGAGAGAGAGAGAGAGAGAGAGCGCGCGCAAGTGGGGGAGGTGCAGAGAGAGAGGGAGACACAGAATCCGAAGCAGGCTCCAGGCTCTGAGCTGTCAGCATAGAACCCACAAACCGCAAGATCATGACCTGAGTCGAAGCCAGACGCTCAACCGACTGAGCCACCCAGGTGCCCCTCCCTCCTTTTAATGGCTGAATAACATCCCACTGTATGGATAGACCATGTTTTGTTTATCCATTCCCCTGTTGATGGACCCTTGGGTTGCTTCCCCATTCTGGCTCCTGGGAATAATACTATGAACATGAGTGTACAAATACCTCTTTGAGACTCAGCTCTTTATTTTTTAAATATATACCTGGAACTGGCATTGCCCAATCATCTATGGTTATTCCAATTTTAATTTTTTGAGGAGCTGCCATATTGTATTCGTGACTGTGCTAATTTATATTACCACCTATAGTGCACAGGGTTCCACTTTCTCCATGTCTTTGCCAACACTTGTTATTTTCTATTGCTGTTGATTTAAATAGTAGCCGTCCTGATGGGTGTGAGGTGGTATCTCATTATGATTCTGACTTGTATTTCCCTAAAGATTAATGATGTTGAGCATCTTTGTATCACCTTTCAGCTTGCACTAGTGCCTCCCATTGTCTAAACCTACCTAGAAACCAGAGGGCAAGGGAGCCTGGGAAATGTAGTTTTCTGCCATATAGAGTAGGCAGGGAAAGGCTTGGGATGGGTGGCTGCTGCGCGCACGCGCGCGCGCGTGTGTGTGTGTGTGTGTGTGTGTGTGTGTGTGTGTGTGTGTGTGGTGTGTGTGTGTGACTGTAAAAACAGCACAGATCCATGGCATACGGGACTTCAGAGTCTCCCGTGCACATCATTGTCCTGAGGAGAAAACTGAACCCCAGCAAAGGGAAGGGACCTGCCAAGATTTCACAGAGAGGAAGCGTCAGAGGTGGTGTTTGAACCTGAGCATGTCTGACTTGTCACCCAGTGCTCTTCCCATTCTGATTCCTATTGCTCACGTGGCATTGGCAAGAATGGGGATCATGAATTTTCACACCTCAGTGGCGTTGCTTATGCTGGTCCCACTGCTTGGAACGCAGTTCCCTCCTTTCTCACCTAGAAAACTCATGTTTACTCTCAGCAGCTCAGCTCAAATGCCAAGTCCTGTAAACTGGGCCCCGGGGAGAACAAACCTGAAAGGAGAACAAAGTGCTTCAGTCTGTGTAAACAGCACCGACCACTGACAGGGTCCTGTCTTCATTCCACATTGGGTCCTCAGTGTTTTTTCCTTCCCTGCACACTGTCTCTGTACTTTCAATGACTCTGAGTTTCCTCTAGGGATCTCTTCCTTCATTGTGTGTAGATTGGGGAATGCTGACAGCCCTCCTCCTCAAGCTTGTCATTCAATCCATCTTCCTGGTCACAGAGACTTTCATTGAGCCCTTGGACAAGAGTCCTTCCTTCCTTCCTTCCTTCCTTCCTTCCTTCCTTCCTTCCTTCCTTCCTTCCTTCCTTCCTTCCTTCCTCCTTCCTCCTTCCCACCCTCCACTGTGTGGCAAAGCTGTGAAGTTACAACATGGAACAGGCCTTTCTGAGAATGAAGCCAACAGTGGGGTAGGCAGAGTCATGGGCTGCAGCATTAGAGAGTCTTGACAACAATTGTTTCGATGCCTGGATACAGCTGTGCCTGAAGGCAATATCACCTATGGGTACTAATAGGTTCCCTCTTTTTGTGAGGCCAATTTGTGTTGAGATTTGAGTCATTCCCCAAAGAAGCCACCATGGGTATCCGTGCATTAGGCCAAGGCCCTGGCTTTCACACACATTCTTGATTTAGTGTTCCTTGGCCCGCAGCTCTGTGGGTCTTGTCCCCAGGACAAGTGGTCCCTTTGAATACCCCGTAGCACTGAGACAAGCAGATCAGAAATTGGTGAGGTACCGTCTGGGAAGTTTTATGTCAGGAGGGCCTGCTTTTCCTATCCCCAGGCTTGGTGACTTGCCCGAGGCCTGTAGGTAGGTGGTGGGCGGTGGAGCTGGGGCCAGGATGTCGGGCCCTTTGGCCATTTTGCCCAAAGCAAGGCCTCTGGCGAGGGCTATAAAGAGTCCATCCTTGTTAGGCAGGACGACAAAAATATCCCTGTTTCTGAAATGGCCACAGAGTCCAAAGAGCTGAACTTCTCAGGGGGCGGAGCGCTGGGGCTCTTTGGTCTCAGTGGTCCTGACTTGCTGAAGCAGGGCTCTCTCTTCCCCAGGCGCCCAGGAGGGCCACTACTGGGCACGTGGTGCCTTGCGCTTCAAGGACAAAGCCGGAATGAAGCTCTAGCGGCCCAGTGCCTCGTCAGCTTTGTGCCATTCCCCATCCTCCCTGGGCACTTTGCACATTCAAAAGCTATTTTAGAAGTAGCAGCACATCTGATTCTCTTTAATGCACTTCCAGGCAGCACAGATGTGCATCAATGAGAGAATGTTCCCTGAACCAAAGTGCTTCTGTGGGCCTCATGATCCTCTCCCTTGGCACTCACTCCCAGGCCAAGAGCCTCCTATGAATCATGCATTAGCTTCTGTGATTGCTGTTCAGAGAGGTGGCAACTCTTGCAAAGGGTGGGGAAGCCATTTTACACTGTGGGAGGCAAAGGGTCTGGGGCTCTAGCTGGGAGAGGGGGCAGAGGGCGGGAGGAAGCAGACTCTGTGAGGGGGAGGTGGATGTCTGCTCTTGGAGGTGAAGCTTGCAGCGTCCAGAGCCCTACCACCAGTTCACATGGTGATGGGGCCCTGGCTACTGCTCCTCCCCCTCACATCCCTATGTGACAGACTTTATCCTGAATGAAGGGAGGATCTGGCACCTGAAGAACTCCCATATGGAGCCCAGCTCACGTGGGGGTGGGATGGGGGGAATCCACAGACACAAAACAAAGCACAGGGTTGGGAGGATTCTCCACAGGTGAGGAAATGACAAACAACCGGACAAATGAGAGAGGCAGAGCCATACAGCAACTCCCAGATCAAAATAATTGTACAAAGCTCGTTAAAACACACAAAGAACATAAATTAAGCACTGCAGTCGCCTGTCCCTAAAAATGTGTCAGTCAGACAGACAGATGACT